TCCCCAGCTCCCGCGCCGCGGTGGCCGCGCTCTGCCCAGCCGGGGGGGAGACCCATCAGCCCTGCCCCGACCCTGGCAGCAGCACCTCTGCCTCTGCCCGCGGGCTCAGACCGTGCTAACTGAGCCCAAGCCATGGCAATCACCATGATGCCAGCAGAGGTAAATGAGACAACCTATCCCAAACCTGTCTTCTGCCTTCTGGCCTAGCCCTAAGGACTGGAGAAACAATCTGTGGGGAACCAGAGTCCCAGGCTGGAGCAGATCCCCCAGGGTTTGCTGTCAGCCAGTGACAGAGCTGCCACGAGAAGCATCTTTTGCCCTTGGTGACAGCAAGACACAAATAAAACCAGGAACGGTTGAGACCGGTCCTGGGGGGGTGTTTGCTGGCTGTGCACCAACACCAGCACATTTATGGTTTATGTACGTTTGCCAGGCAGATGAAGCAGAAATCACAGGGCACTCTGCTGGCACCAGCTGTGGGGCAGGAGGGGGACAAACCACACACACAGATGAGCCTCCCGAGAGCTCAGCACCTCCCACAGGAACGATGAGCATGATGGGGCAGCCCCAGTCCGTGCTGGGACCAGGGGCAGGGACTCACCAGGACGCCCTGGGACAAGGGGCAGGGACTCACCAGGACACCCTGGGACAAGGGGCAGGGACTCCCCAGGACACCCTGGGACAAGGGGCAGGGACTCACCAGGATGCCCTGGGACAAGGGGCAGGGACTCACCAGGACACCCTGGGACAAGGGGCAGGGACTCACCAGGACACCCTGGGACAAGGGGCAGGGACTCACCAGGACACCCTGGGACAAGGGGCAGGGACTCACCAGGACACCCTGGGACAAGGGGCAGGGACTCACCAGGACACCCTGGGACAAGGGGCAGGGACTCACCAGGACACCCTGGGACAAGGGGCAGGGACTCACCAGGACACCCTGGGACAAGGGGCAGGGACTCACCAGGACACCCTGGGACAAGGGGCAGGGACTCACCAGGACACCCTGGGACAAGGGGCAGGGACTCACCAGGACACCCTGGGACAAGGGGCAGGGACTCACCAGGACACCCTGGGACAAGGGGCAGGGACTCACCAGGACACCCTGGGACAAGGGGCAGGGACTCACCAGGACACCCTGGGACAAGGGGCAGGGACTCACCAGGACACCCTGGGACAAGGGGCAGGGACTCACCAGGACACCCTGGGACAAGGGGCAGGGACTCACCAGGACACCCTGGGACAAGGGGCAGGGACTCACCAGGACACCCTGGGACAAGGGGCAGGGACTCACCAGGACACCCTGGGACAAGGGGCAGGGACTCACCAGGACACCCTGGGACAAGGGGCAGGGACTCACCAGGACACCCTGGGACAAGGGGCAGGGACTCACCAGGACACCCTGGGACAAGGGGCAGGGACTCACCAGGACACCCTGGGACAAGGGGCAGGGACTCACCAGGACACCCTGGGACAAGGGGCAGGGACTCACCAGGACACCCTGGGACAAGGGGCAGGGACTCACCAGGACACCCTGGGACAAGGGGCAGGGACTCACCAGGACACCCTGGGACAAGGGGCAGGGACTCACCAGGACACCCTGGGACAAGGGGCAGGGACTCACCAGGACACCCTGGGACAAGGGGCAGGGACTCACCAGGACACCCTGGGACAAGGGGCAGGGACTCACCAGGACACCCTGGGACAAGGGGCAGGGACTCACCAGGACACCCTGGGACAAGGGGCAGGGACTCACCAGGACACCCTGGGACAAGGGGCAGGGACTCACCAGGACACCCTGGGACAAGGGGCAGGGACTCACCAGGACACCCTGGGACAAGGGGCAGGGACTCACCAGGACACCCTGGGACAAGGGGCAGGGACTCACCAGGACACCCTGGGACAAGGGGCAGGGACTCACCAGGACACCCTGGGACAAGGGGCAGGGACTCACCAGGACACCCTGGGACAAGGGGCAGGGACTCACCAGGACACCCTGGGACAAGGGGCAGGGACTCACCAGGACACCCTGGGACAAGGGGCAGGGACTCACCAGGACACCCTGGGACAAGGGGCAGGGACTCACCAGGACACCCTGGGACAAGGGGCAGGGACTCACCAGGACACCCTGGGACAAGGGGCAGGGACTCACCAGGACACCCTGGGACAAGGGGCAGGGACTCACCAGGACACCCTGGGACAAGGGGCAGGGACTCACCAGGACACCCTGGGACAAGGGGCAGGGACTCACCAGGACACCCTGGGACAAGGGGCAGGGACTCACCAGGACACCCTGGGACAAGGGGCAGGGACTCACCAGGACACCCTGGGACAAGGGGCAGGGACTCACCAGGACACCCTGGGACAAGGGGCAGGGACTCACCAGGACACCCTGGGACAAGGGGCAGGGACTCACCAGGACACCCTGGGACAAGGGGCAGGGACTCACCAGGACACCCTGGGACAAGGGGCAGGGACTCACCAGGACACCCTGGGACAAGGGGCAGGGACTCACCAGGACACCCTGGGACAAGGGGCAGGGACTCACCAGGACACCCTGGGACAAGGGGCAGGGACTCACCAGGACACCCTGGGACAAGGGGCAGGGACTCACCAGGACACCCTGGGACAAGGGGCAGGGACTCACCAGGACACCCTGGGACAAGGGGCAGGGACTCACCAGGACACCCTGGGACAAGGGGCAGGGACTCACCAGGACACCCTGGGACAAGGGGCAGGGACTCACCAGGACACCCTGGGACAAGGGGCAGGGACTCACCAGGACACCCTGGGACAAGGGGCAGGGACTCACCAGGACACCCTGGGACAAGGGGCAGGGACTCACCAGGACACCCTGGGACACCCCCCCCCATTGCACCCACCGGGCTCCCCCCCACCTGCAGGGACCCGGGGAGCAGACCTGTGCCCCCCCAGGGCCAGCCCTGGCTGCAGGGACCTGCACCGTCCCCGCGGGGTCACCCCTGCCCGGGGCTGGTCAGACATCCCCCTCCCGGAGGATTTAACACCCCGGGACAACGGGATGGGGGCTCTGCTGAGATTTCTGTGCCTCTGCTGTGGGAATCGTCACCCCCTTGTTCCCCGGCGTGGGTTTCTTTCACTGCAGCAGCTGGAGAGGCTGAGGCAGCAGCCTGGGCTGTTTTCTTAAGAATAATTTAGTAATGTATTTTATTTCTGTTAATTTGGGGGGGGGGGGCAGGAGATCGTCCAGCAGGAAATTCCACCTCCTGGGGGTGCAGCTTTGCAGAGGATCCCTGTGTTATTGCAGAGCTTTGTGATGGAGCAGGTTCCTGCTAAACCCTGCGGAGGGAGGTCTGTCCTCCTCTCCTCCCTGGCAGACAGGAAAATCCCAGATCAACATCCTGCCCGAGCACCTGCTGCTCCAGCTCAGGATGCAGAAAAATATCTCTCCCTTTTTTGTTTCCATGGGCAAGAGGCAGAAGGTGGTTGGAGCCCAGACAGACCTTCTGCTTTCCCTGCAGCCCCCCCTGCTCACAGGCAGCTTTTTGCCTTCATCCTGCTTGGTTTGAGCTGGGCTGCAGGCAGCAGCCATTGCAAGAGCACATCAAGCAGGAGTGGGGAAACTAACTGCTGGTTGGGAAACAGGGTAACCCTTGGCATTAACAAAAGTAATAATAATCAGAATTTACCTCTTAGCTTTTTCCTAGAATCTGTTTTGCAGCAGAAGCAACTTCCTGAGTTGTCCCATTGTAAAAAAACAAAACACAAAAACCAACACAAATGTTTTGTTTCTGATGTATTGGAATGATTTGGATGCTCAGTCTGGTTTGAAGAAGTAAATTGCCCAATTGTCACTGACCCTCAGCTGTGAGATTCTTCACATCACTTGAACCTACAAACTCAGGGGTGGAACAGGTGGAGATTAGCTGGGTATTACTAATTGCTAATCAGAAAAGCTGCCCAGGGTAAAAATAGAAAGGGGATGTTTTGTAGAAACCCAACCTCTCTGCTCAGTGCTTCCAGTCTTTTATTCTCCAGTTTTTGTGGGCAGATCCTTCAAGCACAGGTTTTTGAACAAGCAGGTGGGTTTTTTTCCTGATTTTTATTGGCAAAACACTGTTGACCCAGGAGATGGGAATGCTAAGGTACCCCTGGCACAGCCTGGATCCAATTAGTGGGTGTTGAAGCAGCCAATTCCTGTATGTGACAGTTCAGTGTCATTGAAACTGGTCTCTGCTTGGTCTGTGACCATGAGGAGAAGAGGCAGATGCTGCCCTGGCCCAAGCCCTGCTCTGATGGAGGCTCCTGGGTGCTCCTGTGGGACAGGCTGCCCAGAGGGACACCCTGGGGCAGGGCAGGTGGGTGTCACCTGGGCAGGGTGTATTTCTTTGCTGAATACACCTGGGTTAGCAAGATGGTGTTGTCTGGCCTGGACCTTGGGTTTGGAGGGAGCTCCTGCAGGAAAACCACGCCAAGGAAGTGCTGTGGCTCTGGTTGTCTTGGTCCCACCATCCAGCCACCTGCAGGCTGAAGGTGTTTGCATTCACCACGCTGGAGATTGGGATCTCTGGGAAATATGGAAGCCAAGAGGAGGCACAAGGCTCTAGAATTACAGGCAGCAACTCCAATTCTGTTGTGGCCTCGCCAAGCTTGTGTTTTTTTTAAAGCTCAGCTGGGAGGTCCCAGTAATTTCATCTCTGGAGCTGGCTCTGCTCTAAACAAAAGGTTTGCCTCACAAGCTCCAGCTCTGCCCCCCTCTGAGGGGTTTCTTCTGATTTTAAATGAAGTTAAGATGTAGACAATGTGTTCTCAGCACTTTATCCCACACGTTACAAGTAGAGACTGCCCTGGATTCCAGTAGTGCCATGACTCCTGTCCCACAGGTGATGTCTTAGGTGCCTGAGGTGCTGATGCTGTAGTGGAGCTGTGCTGGTTGACAAGGCCATGGGGAAACTGCAGAGTAAAAACAGCTTCACAGCCACCAAATACAGGTAAGGCAACACCAGATGAGCATCTTCACTTAAACCTCTTCTGAGAGTTAGTAGAGACCAGCGAATGGAGACAAAACATAGCAAGCACATGGGGTTAGTTTCATTGAATGTATGAATCAGGTTTTGATTTTTGACCCTTGCTTCTAAAGACTGCTCTGCTTCTTTGGGGGACTGAAATCCAGAATGTAGCTCACAGGAGCAGCTGAGCATGTACACGTGCCCAGTGGTCGTGCCCTGTGGTGGCTAAGGCACCAGGGGTGGCTGTTGGGCCCAAATGTCCAAACTGCTTCACTGTCTCTGCAGAGAGTGTCATCAGCTTTCATCAGCAGGGTGAAATAACTGGGTCTCTGCAGCAAGGTGGGCAGCTCTGCCTGGAGATCAGCTGAAAGCACAGGGTGGGACACTTGCTCAGCAAGGCTGGTGTCAGTGCAAAGGAGAGCAGCAGAGCCTGAGAGGTTCTAGTGGAAGAGGAGGCTGGAAAGGTCAAAATACAGCTTCATTCTGTTCTTTGTAGCAGTGTGGAGTGAGTGAGCACCAAAGTATTTAGCAGCTTTAGAAGTGAAATGGGTCTACTCCATCCCAGGAGAGCATTTGCCCCCTCACAGATCCTCTTTGGCTCTCCAAAGGCAGGTGTCCTTCTGCAGCCCAGCCAGTGGTGCCACCTCCCAGGCCTTGGCCTCCATGGGGAACAGCACCCTGACTTTGCCTCGAAATGCTCTGCAGGTCCCACCACTGTCTCTCTGCCCCTTGCAGGGCCGATGGCTCCGCGGGAGAGCTGGGAGCCTGCCGAGCCACCCAGCAGCACAGCCAGGCTGTCACCTCCCCAGCTGTCACCTCGGTGGCTGCTCTCCAGCCAGACCTGTGTGTGTCGGGAGGAAGGGACAAGGTGAGGTACCCCCAGCACGGGGCACAAAGCACGGTTACAGGTGGGGAAGTGCATGGGCAGGTTGGGAAAAGGAGGTTTAAATGGGAGCGTTAAACATTTCCCTGAGTGGTAACAACTTGGTGAGTTCCTAAATTCAGAAATAAGAGCTTGGAGTGAGGGTGCTCAGTGCAGCACGTTGATTTTGGAACCTGCCATGGGCAGGGACACCTCCCACCAGCCCAGGCTGCTCCAAGCCCCATCCAACCTGCCCTTCAACACCTCCAGGGATGGGGCAGCCACAGCTTCCCTGGGCAGCCTGGGCCAGGGTCTCACCTCCCTCATAGGGAAGGATTTCTTCCTAGATGCCCTCACCCAGGCTTGGAAACCCTGGACTGGCCCTTCCCGTGTTACCTGGTTGGGCTCTAAAATCAGTGGTAAATGCTGTAGGAGCTCTAAACCAGCAGAACCTGTTCCCTCTCCAAGCATGGACCGTGCACAGGTCCCAGTGTACCACAGCCAAGCAGGTGCATAGTCCTGCCCCCCACCCTGCCAGCCCTGCTGATGGCCCGTCCTGTCCCTGCAGAGCGTGTCTGTCTGCAGCTGGAGGTCTGGGGCTGAGCTGCACCGCTTCACCGGCCACCAGCGGGAGGTCACCAAGGTGAGTGACAACTGCCCACCTGTGCTGGGGTCTCCTGAGCGTTACCTGTCAGGAACTGGGGGGCTGACCAGCTTCTCCATCATCCCCTTGGCAGGTCACCTCTGCCTCTGACTCAAGCAGAGTCTTCAGCGCATCCCGGGACAAGACAGCGATGATGTGGGAGCTTCACAGGAACTCAGGGCCAAGCCAGCACTTCCCAGGACATGACCTGGTTGTTACTGGCCTGGCTGTGAGCCCAGGTGAGGACCAACGTGCTCCCATTCCCCAGGGATCTCTTGACAACTTTCCTTGGCAATTTTTTCCATGTCAACTTGTGGTTGCAGATGCCTCCCAGCTGTGCACGGGCTCACGGGACAACACGGTGTGCAAGTGGGACATTGAGACTGGAGAGTGCCTGGCCCGAGCCACCATCTCCAGGAATCTGGTAGGAGCAGCTGGTTCCTTGCATCCTATCACAGCCCATCACTGCCCGCTCGGCTGTTTCACACGTGAAGCCACGTAGAGTGAGTTCACTCTGAGCTTGGTGCTACAAGAAGCCCTTGGAGCAGCTGTGCAGGCTGCCTGTGCATCTGGGGACATCAAGCCCTGGGGCTGGTGACTCTGTTCTCCAGGCAACAAGCCCAGGAGCACAGAGATACCAAGGGAGGGGCAGCAATTGATTAGTGCTCCAACTCTTGGAAGCACAGTGGGGGCTGTACCAGCCCAGCAGAGGAACTGATGTGGGCACAGTTGTCTGGTGGCCATGGTGCCCCTGTTCCCATGGCTCTGTGCCCTGTGGAGCTGCTGGCACCTCCCTCCCTGCACCCAACTCCCCCAGTCACCACGCTGAGACCAGATCCTGTAGGGGAGCAGCACTGATGGGAAGCAGAGAGGAAACTTCCTCCAACACTTGCTGCTCCTCACCCAGCAGCAGGAGGCAGGGGGTGGGTGGCTGTGTGTCCCCAGGCCTGGGCTTCAGCTCGTCCCGTGCTCTCTGCAGGTGACACATCTGTGCTGGGTCCCTGGGGAGCCTTATGTGGTCCAGAGCTCGGAGGATAAAACCATCAGGTAAGTTCCATGGGCATGGAGAGGGGAGGGACAGGACGTGGGGCCTGTGGAAGAGGACAGAGCACAAGGGGCTCATTAGCTGTTTGCCATGAGCATCTGTTCCCCCGCCCCCCTCCCTGCCCCCCTCCCTACC